CGGTGCTGGTTGCTGAAGGCAACCGTTTGCAAAGTGCTTCTTGGAATCCTGGTCTGTTCGTCTTGTTTGCCACGTGTTCCTGTGGACTATTTCCTTCCTTTGGACTTGAGTTTTGCTGTTTGTGTTTTGGACTTATTGACAGGTTTGTCGCCCAAATAAAAGGGATTTTGTTTTGTTTTAAAGTCTCCAGCCTATTGTATCAGCAGGGGTTTGGTCCTTGTGCCTCTAACAAGGACGGCAATAGGCTGGGATAGAACAAAGACTTGGTCAATGTTGTGTGAGGATTGCGCAAAGCCTTGTACCAAAGTGAAGGAGCCTGGCCCCGCATTTTCAAAATTAAACCACGAGAATGTCAGACTTGAGAGCAGGATTGAGTGACTGGCTCTAGGCTTCCTCCTAAGCCTGAGTTTGCTTTCTTCGCGGTGTGTGTTGTCAAATCGGCCTCAAGGGGTTGGGTTCATTCCCCATACTAACCCATCAATCAGGATTTTACACATTGCGATGGCTGCGTCTGCATGACTTACTAAGCCAAACCCGAACAGGCTGTGTAATTTCTTAGTGGAGCGTGTGCTAATCTAGGCCGTAAGTGGGTTGTGGGTGTCGGGATTAGGGAGTGAATAAATGCACATTTGGATGCTGACTGAAGGCCTGGTGATGAACGGGCTGAGCTACTCCTGTGGGTGTATTTCTTAATGCATTAATGGGAATATTTGAACGGCCAGAGGGTCATTGAGCATTAGCAAGTGAGGGGCGGCTGTTATGCATTTGTAAGTGAAACATATGAAGAATGGTTGCAGGAATTGGGTATGTCTGGTCTAGTGAAAAGAGGGACCAGGGGTGACATGATTGCAGATAGAATCGAGATCACGTGAAGTATTAATACCACTTTACAAGGCCTTGGTAAGGCCACACTTGGAATCTAGAATCCAGGTTTGGTCACCACGAGGTAAAAAAAGATGTTGAGACTCTAGAAAGAGTACAGAGAAGAGCAACAAAGATGATTAGGGGACTGGAGGCTAAAACATATCAAGAACAGTTGCTGGAATTGGGTATGTCTAGTTTAATGAAGAGAAGGACGAGGGGCAACATGATAGCAGTGTTCCAATATCTCAGGGGCTGCCATAAAGAAGAGGGAGTCAAGCTATTCTCCAAAGCGCCTGAGGGCAGGACAAGAAGCAACGGGTGGAAACTAATCAAGGAGAGAAGCAACCTGGAACTAAGGAGAAACTTCCTGACAATGAGAACAATTAACCAGTGGAACAACCTGCCTCTAGAAGCAGTGAATGCTCCAACACTGGAAGTTTTTAAGAAGAAACTGGACAGCCATTTGTCTGAAATGGTATAGAGTCTCCTGCCTGAGCAGGGGGTTGGTCTAGAAGACCTTCAAGGTCCCTTGCAACTTGGCTATTCTATTATTCTGTTACAAACACACACACGCACACATACACACACACAGAGGGCTAAGGGTGACATGATAGCAGTCTTCCAGTATCTCAGGGGTTGCCACAAAGAAGAGGGAGTCAAGCTATTCTCCAAAGCACCAGAAGGCAGGACAAGAAGCAGAGGATGGAAACTAATCAAGGAGAGAAGCAACTTAGAACTAAGGAGAAACTTCCTGACAGTGAGAACAATTTACCAGTGGAACGACTTGCCTCTGGAAGTTGTGGGTGTTAGTAAATCAGATTCTTTTGCGTAGGTTGCATGGCATAAATTTGCAGCGCTTTTGAACTCTCTCCTGGCTCCTGGTTTGCTGTGCCTGACAGTTGAACTTTATTTGTGTTTAATTTAAAACTTCTCTTAGCAATCACTTGGAACCCAGGGCAAAGTTCTTCAGTTTGGAGTTTTATCTCTTTGAGTCAAGAGGTGGGATGTACATTCCAGGGGATTGAT